CTACCAATTTTTCAGATTAGGGATGTTTGATCAGTATCTAAAATTATAAGTATTGGGGCCTTCATATTCACACAAGACAGTTTTCTACAGAAAATAAATGCTTAGAAATCCCATTAGAAAAAAACACAAATAATTTCAAAAAACAACCAAATGAAGATTATATTCACAACTATGACAAAGAGCCTGCTTCCATAATGTACAAATTATTTATAAATCAAAAAGAAAAATGTGCAGCACCCTATTGGAAATTGAGCAAAACATATCTATATGAAGGTCATGGGGAAGAAAATAGATTTAACATCATTCAAAAATGAAAACGTTTTATCAATCAAACTGACAAAATCAGAGGTCAAGATAATCCAATGTTAATAAATGCCATATAAATATAAACTGATAACATCTTTGTTATGTGTGTAAATATGGAAACCTATTTAGCAGATATTCTGTCATGCCTTCTAAGTGTACAACCCCTTCTTTTCTACAATTTCACTACATAGGAATTTACTCTATATATTTTCTATAATATTGCTCACAATAACAAAACAGAAATAAACTACTACTCAATAGTTCAAAAACTTATAGAGACATGTAGTGAAGTCCTCAAATTACTATAGACAATAAAATAGTTCTGTTTGGGATCATATAGAAAGCTATACAGGTACTTTTACAACATCTAATGTTATCTTTTAAGCCAAAGTCTATTCTATAATGTAATTATTTGCTTACTATAACCACATTTTGACATTTTATACTTATATACTCATATATTCATACACAATAGCCCTAAGTATTCTAGGATACTAAAGAGCCTAGGTAAATAGTACTTATAATGAACCAGGTGGGAGACAAAAGGCAGGAAGAGATACCTACACTTTTTGCCTTCCTGACTTCTTGGTGTTTGTCTAAGTTAGGGTTTTTAGTACTATGATGAAGAACCATGACCAAAGCAACTTGGAGAGAAAGTGTTTATTTGGCTTACACTTCCATGCCACTGAAGGAAGTCAGGACAGGAACTCAAACAGAGCAGAAACCTGGAGGCAGGAGTGGATGTAGAGGCCACAGAGGGATGCTGCTTGCTGGCTTGCTCCTCATGGTTTTCTTGACCTGCTTTCTTATAGAAGCCAGTTTCACCAGCCCAGATATGCTAACACCCACAATGGGCTGGGCCCTCCCCCACCAATCATTAATTAATAAAATGCCCTCCAGGTGGGTCTCATGGAAGCATTTTCTCAGTTGAGGTTCCCTCCTTTCAGATGACTCTAGCTTGTGTCAAGTTGACATAAAACTAGCCATCTCAGTGTTGAATTTTACATCAAACAGAGACAATTTTTGCCAAAGGGGATATGAATAAGCCTTTGGAAGTAGTCTCCCTATCCCTGTAACACAGGACATTGACACCTTACATTCCTGCACATATACATACCATGCCTTAAAATAGGTACTATGTATAACTAAGGTCTACAAAGTAGAATTATAAGACACATCTATAGTAAAACCATCTCACATAGTTCCCCCATCTCCCTATGATGCACAGCCATAACTACTCATTTGGCAAAATCCTAACGATAGCACACCACTGTCTACTGCAGTTCTCATGTTATGTGTTATTTTTAAATTGTTCTTTCAACTACTGTATCCTTTTAGCTCTCATCTCCTGGTTCTGCTACTCCAGCTCTAGGGTGACCGTCTTCCCTGATCCATGCAGTCTTGGCTTTATCTTAGGAGTAAAGAATCAGCAAAGGGTCCAGTCAGGAAACAAGGGAGGAGAGGCTGGCTACAGACATATGAACAATATTCCCAAGTCACATATGAAGGTGATATAAAAATTATGGGGCCAGTGTAACAAATTCCATGCTTGTATTTAATAACTAAAATCAGAACACAAAGTCATGTTCCCACTTTGGTGTTGGCAGATTACAACACAGTTTAAAAATATTCCCAGTACTGGACTATAAATAGATGTCCTGTTGTAGTGGGGAGACTGGAAACACCCTACATCTGTGTTCCTACCAAGAGGAGAATATGGCAGTTCAACAATATGGCAATCATTTCTCTTTCATTACACTCCTGGGTACCCCCAAAGTCCAGGTCCCTTTCTTATCATTAAGTTGCAGCTCATTCAACAGCTGTTTCATGTTGAATATTGTCCTTTTACTCACTGTAGCAAAGTGTCTCCAACATACTCTTCACCTCACTATAATGTTAAGATGTTTCCTATGCAGGCAAAAATATATATTGAATTTCTTCACTTTTTAAAAATGTGACAAAACCTCTTGTCATTTAAAACAAACAGTGTTGTACCATTCCATTTTCCTATGACAATGCTACTTTGTGGATTATTTTTTCAAATTTGCCTGAGTGCCTACACTATATAAAGCACTGTAGAGGCTGCGATACACATAAGGCATAGCTTTGTGCTTGAAGAACTTAGTCATCCAAAGAAGTCAACAAAACGTTGTGTTTATCAAGTGCTGCTCTAAATCATTTACAAGGAACAGCTGACTTAATCCCTACAACAGCCATTCTTCATCTGTTCCTTACTTAGCAATCTGAAGCACAGAGACCAAGGAATGGACCACAGGTCAGGCTGCTACCAAGTGGGACCCAGGAAGTCTGTGTCTGAGCCCACGCCTGTGCCAACCTGCTCTAAAGATCTGGCTGTGTGTGCAGAGGCTGCACTATAGAACAGCAAGTGCTCCATGCCTTTGTGACACAAAGTACAGTGGCAATTCAGACAAACACATTTCTAGATAGAATATTCATGGGGAAGCCTGTCAAGCAAGATTTTACAGGCACAATGGAGGCAGTACACTTACATTCCACATAGGTAAAAACTTCGAATAGGCAGAAATTTAGTGCAGTAAACAGAGTTGAAACTTGTTTCATTTCTCTTAAGTTTTATCCTCTAATGGCACAGGAAAACTTTCTGGGGAAAATGTGAGTGAGAACATGTGAACTCGAGTTAGTTTTTTAGAACATATAAAGCATTAAACTCATAAGGAGAGGCATGTACCTTTTACTAACAGTCTTAGGGAGAAACTAAAGTAGAATATAATCAGAACATAAATAAATAGTACAGTGTGTGTGTGTGTGTGTGTGTGTGTGTGTGTGTGTGTGTAGACATATAGACAATCTATAGATCTCATCTAGCTAACTGCTTTCATTCTCTATGTAGAAAAGTCACTTGGAGAAAGCCAAAGGTCCTATCGGAATTCAAAGTAAATTGTATTGACAAAGCTTCTGCCTGAACAGAAACTGCACATAGTCTGTCATTCCCTGATCAGCAGCATGTCACTATCTTAGTTTGCTGGATGGTTCTCTGTTTGGGACAAGGCCCTAAGAATTTGGAGGAAATAAATAAACCTCTCTATGCAGGTCAGAAACATATGCCAGCACAGCACTTGTGGGATCAACCTTGTTTTGGTACAAAATCTTTAGTCCTTTATCCCCCATCTCCTCACTCATCATCATCTCTCTGTTGTGTCCTGGGGTCACTAAGGAAATAGCAAGACAACCAGGGACACAATCAATGCATCCCTTTGCCTTGACATTCCAGTTTTTAACTATCCTACGTCTCTTTGCCCTGCCCTTTCACACAACATCATTGGAGGTTTTTCTTTATGAGATGTTTATATATCTAGGGAAATAATAAACTGAAAATACCAAGACATGGTTCACTCTGCAGGAAAGATGCAGCAACACCAGATTTATTTAATTTTAATATATTTTAGGTATTTCTCAGTTCCATCCATAATACTTACATTAAATATCTGGGGGGTGCTATCTATTAGAAGCTTTCCTTATATTATTAACAAGCTGTCTGATCACCACACACAATTGTAAGCTGAATTTGTGTCCTCAGAAGCACACTAATTATGGACACTCTGGGAAATGTGGCACTGTCACTTTCGCATTATTATTTCATGAGCAGTAGAGAATCTAAAAGAAGCAACCCCCATCCTGGCCTTGGAGGGACACTGCTTTGAGCTTTTCTCAGTGAGCTCACTGTTCTAACAATGCACATGTATCATCAGGTAGTGGACCTGAGGAACGGCTCAGTGATGAGTCATGCAAACATACACAGTGCCTCTCGCAGTCATCCATCCCTGCCTAGCCCATGATCCCAGCAACTTCCACAAACTGGGGCTTCTCTGGAAGTCTAGCTCAGACCTAAGAAGCTGGGGCCTGGAATTCCACCTATATTCTGTTCTAGGGTTAGCCCATGCAGACTGACTCCCTTAGGCATGCATTTGATAGCAGATGCTGTTTGAGCTACCTAGCCAAAGGCTGGCTAACTTAACTAGTGAGCAACTCTCCAAACAGGATCTTACCATGGAATGTCTCTCCCAGGTGAAAAGCAGAAAATACACCTTGGTAGGAAATCTGACATACTGAAATGATTGTGGTGTCTCTTAAAGACACAGAGAGAGGGCAACTGGGGACACAAACAACCCCCTGGCTAGACAATGAGAGAAACAGCAGAATGAGAAGCCTCGGTAAATAACACTGTTCAGATTTAGTAACAAATCAAGTTAATCAGCCTGTGACTAGCTAATGTAATTCATGTGTAGCTAATTGTTTGATAATGGACTATATCTCTTTTAAATATGTTTCTGAAAGGAAGAAACAAGATAGGCAGGAATCTGCTTCTTGTCCTGCACTGGGACACAGAACTAATATATCAGCAACTAACACTTGTGGGTTTCACAAAAGCTGAGCACTGAAACAAACACACACTGTGAATGTGCCTAAATCACCTCCTATACCCATCCTAGACTAGGATAGGACAAAATATGCTTCCTCCAGCAGTAGGCATGTTGAACTTACGAATCTGCTTGTGTTTAGTTGTGAGAAGTCTATGTGATGCTTTGCACAATTCAGCAAGTGAAGCATGGGTTTTGCACACACAGACTTACACAAATTGGGTGCTCCATCTGCTTTAATAAATGTGTATCCAACCATTGGGTTATAGAAATTTCAAAGCTTTTGTTTTTTGACAGGATGCCTGCCGTTTTTCTCTCTTGACTCGCGCTTGTTTTATTCATTTTGGGGTAGTTGCCAATTAGACCCAATTGGTAAGTATGATTAACAAGAATCTTGAATTTCCTCTTAAACCCCAACCAAGAAAATTAACCTTAGAAGCTATAATTTCCTTTAAATATTCCTAACCACATCACTCTCCTGACTACTACTCATCTCTTCTAAGACATCTATCCCCACCAGAGCTTAACGATTCCTTTTGACTTGTCACCCTGAAGATGCCACCTAGGACGAATTAGTAGTATTCTAAGATATGACTAAAAGGAAGGAAGCATTTACTCAAGCTCCAGATACTATGCAAGGCATTGCCATATATACTGTCTTTTTTAATGCTTGACAAATCCATCCAAGGTAGAAATTACATGGCTTTTTATAGTTATAAAAGGATAACTCAGACAGGTTATACATTTAACCTTATATCCAACTATTTGGACACCTGGTTATAGACCTAGGCTGTTAAGATTCCCAAATCCTTATACCCTTTCCATCCACATGCAAGGCGTTAGCTCACTTAAGAAGTTCCCTAAAATTTGGCTGCCTTTGAAAGCTTGAGAGCATTGTTTCATTCGGGACCTAGTTGAGCACTCACTCTGTTCAGGACCTGATTCATCATTGCTTTAAATGAGTCATCATTCGGGATTCAGGTGGGAATAGAATGCTGGTTAGAGGCTAAGATGCTGGAGAAACAACATGAGCAGGACATGGAGAGGGTGGCTAAGAGGGGGCAGACAGAGGCAAGCGGAGAAGCTCCTGACCGTGTACCGTGGCTACTACAGTCCTTCTTCATGTGACTCGTGGACTTCCCTTTGTCATCCTATGCCTGAGAATATATGAAGGAGGCTGGGAAGGCAAAGGGACGTTCAATTGTCATCACTGGCATCTTTTTAAATCATTGCACCATCATCAAATGCATTAGGATAACCATACATGAAATTTTCCATCACTGAGCCCATAACTTTTCCCAAACAGGGGTAACAACTCTACACATCATAGAACCTTACCCAGGGAAGTCATGAAGTGAGAAAAAGTGAATTAGATTCTTACATATTATCAACCAATTCCAACTTCAAACTCTAATTGATAAAGGAAACTGAGTTTCCTCTGAACAGTCACATGTATATCAAGAACATCCTAGTGCCTTCTGTAGATGCTTTGGTCTGTTCAGACCCATCATACAGACTTTCTTCTGTCTCAACCAAAGATCAAGAGTTAGTATAGTTATGAGTATCAAAGTCATAGGCAGTTACTGGGAACTGTGATGATTATGCCATTTTTCAAATGCTCTCAACAGCCTGAGTTATTCAAAATGTCCTCTGTCTTTTAGTGGACCTTCTATCTAAAGGATAATTGGTTGGGGAGGCGGGGAACTGATACAACAATCTCAGCCCTGACTTCTCTCCATTTTGTGAAATGACTTGACACAAGTTGGTTATATAAAATATTAGTCATCCTTATTAATTAATGGTCACTTGGAAAATCAAAACAATGAAGTCAAAACAACTTTGGAGGAAAATGGTTCCTTGGTGTTTGCCTGTCTTGTCAATCCGACCCTTTTCCAGTCAAACTAGGATCCTTCTCTTTTTGAGAAAAGAAACTTTTTCACTTCAGAATTACTTGTTCGGGGATGAGGCAGGTCTTTTACACAAGTTTGACCAGGTAATCCGCCCAATATTCAGATGGGATACCCCGGGCACTTCTCATGGAGTGAGAAATCTTTGCATATTAGAAAGACTTAGGTTGGAATTAATTGATACTTTTGCTCTCAAGATCAGTCAAATTTACTTCTACTAGGCAGTTAGATTCTTTTCATGATAACAGGACCTTCCTGGTGGGACCTGGTCCTTTTCTTGTTTCATTGCTAAGTGAAGGACCCTCCATATTATTCCCATTTCTTTCCCAGCTTCTTTTTCCTATAATGCCACATGGACATTCTAATCCACTCATTCCAAGATGCTTATAGTGTCCTTGATATAATACAGCCCATTGGGTATGTTTTGTCTCTTTTTAATACCTTCTGGGATTCTGTCCTCTCCTATTACTAATGGAAACACTCTTTTTTAATCTTTCAGCCTAAGAATCTACCTTCCATCTAAGTATCTACCTTCCTTGATGTACCTCATAGACCCACACTCCTCACACCTTCCACGTTCCCACTTTACTCTCTAGAACTCTGTGGTAGCACTTCTTACTCATTCTTCTTACTCATTAGTGATTATATGCCCATTGCCCTGCTCGGCTGCCTGTCACCTGCAATCTCTGAGACTGTATAAAGCAGAGCCTGTATCTTGAGCATTTTTATCATCCTGGGAACTGAGTGCAATCCCTGGAACATGCAAATGGGTGCCCAGGAGATCACTATTGTAAAGGGGAATGCTTAGTCTTCCCGGCCTTGTTTTTAGCTTTGGTGTCAAGCCTGACACACAGAGACATGGGAGGACTTAGACAATGTAGTCCAGAAAGTAAAAGACAAGTGAGGTTAACATGATGGAGAGACCCAATGAAGATAACTGAACAGGAAGGTGTATAGGCAGTAATGACTGTTGAAGAAAAACATTCAGTCTGGGACATTTGAGTGTGTTTTTATTCCATGGCAATTATTGTTAAACCATTTCCAAATAATGCATTTCAAAGATAGTTTCTGCATTAGCTGATTCCATTATGGCTTCAGTATTTATACAGAAAAATAAATATCTATTGATTTCTCCCCACTGATCCAAAGTAATAGTCACCTATGTCTTCTTTTCAGTTTAGATTAGGATCAACTCATTTGGTAGCAATGCAAAGCAAACTTTAGAAAGTTAGGCAAGTAGAAAATAGATCAGAAAACTTGTGCTGACTGGGTACTTTTCTGCCATAATCATCAACTCATGGTTATATTTAGAGAAGAGATGGTATCTCATTCCCCAGGGGTCTCAAAGGAACGTGGATTGAAACTCTCATTTGCTGAAGATGGATAGAGCTGAAGAACTCAGCACAAGCCCTCCAAAGTCCCCTTTGAGGATTGTTAATAATTTGTTTAATCCCTGCAAAATGCTATTTGGAACATTTCAAGCTCTGGAAATGAATGGATGCAAATGCAAAAAGCAAAATGTAATTCATGAGGTTCTGAAGAATAAAATAAGGGTCCTGGGAGTCACTAATGAAGCCATCATTGTTTTAACAATAAAAAAATGTTTGACCTTAAACTCTCAGCTCATTAACCCTTAAAAAAAGGTGAGGAAAATAAGAAATCCCATGCCTTAATAATAATAATAATAGTCAAGAAGGCAAGCAGCAGATTTCCCTCCTCCCCCGCCTCTCTTTTGGCACCCACAGCTGAAATAAAGCAGCACTCTTCCCCTCACTGAACAGGCTGTCCTTGTTCCATGCTGCAGGCCAGATTCCCAAACTCAGCAAAGGCCTACATGCCACAGCCCAGCAGGCACACACTCAAGTCCTAAATGCACAACCCTAACAAGCCTTGGCGTCTCTGGGTCCACACGGGGATCTGGGGGCAGTTGCTGCTGCAAAAGAGCAGAGTGGAGAAAAAGAATAGGTGTGCCTGTGCCAAAACAGGGAGAGTGAGGATTGAAGAGTCAGCTTTCCTGGTCATCAAACAAACCTGCGCTGAGCCCTGCCTCATTAACAGCATTTCTTCCACCCAGAGGAAGAACAAAGGAAGTGTGTACCTTCTGTGCTGCGCATTAGGGTTTGTTATGAAATCCTGGGGGAGGCTGTGGAGCAAGTGGCAACTGAGCATGCCTGCATGATAAGTCTAGGCAGCAGGTCCCTGCACCCTTGTTTTCCAGCCTTAGAACCTGGCCTGTTGAAGCACAACCACATTTGTTTTGTCCTGTTGATCTGTATGTTCCCATTAGTCAAATACTAAGAACTGTGGCAGTATGGATTGGTGTTCATAGACTCACAGAAAATGCCACATAGTCACACTTTCCTTAATTCAAATAAATTCCAACATCCCCCTCTGTATACTTTTTGTTAAGTTCAAACTTGCCATCAACGTTAGTCTCCACCACCCACAGCCCTGGGCTATTATTTAGTTTTTTATCACTGTATGAAGTACTTGAAGTAGACATGGTGATGCACCCCTGTACTTCCAGGTCTTCCTTGGAAGACCAAGATGACAGCCTGAGCTATAGAGCAAGACCCCATCTCAGAAACACAAAAAACTGAGAAAATCAACTTCAAATTGATAATTTTGAAAACATGGTCCCTGAGTGGTGATTAGCTATCATCATTGTAGGAGTCATTACCAAGCAAAACTGCTCATCTCTTGACTAGAAAGTAGGAGAAAGAGAAGATAAGATTCCACAATCCCTTTCAAGGGCAAGCCTGCAAATATCTAAAGAACTCCTAGTAGGCCTGCTTATTATTATTTCCCCATGTCCCAGTTAGTGTCGTTTCAGAGACTGAGCCTTTAATATGTACACTTGGGGGGATCACATCTTGAAGACTCCCACACACTCCCTGACTTTCACTCTCTCCTGCTTACAGACAACTTAGAAAATCGGGGGTGAGGAGGCTCTCAATTCCCCTCCTCAAGGTTACCCACGATCCAGAAGTTGTCCAAATCTTTGCAATTGCTCCAAAGTGGGCAACTCTGGCACTCCTGTGCCAAGTAAGACCTGTGGAGAATTCCATAATTCTAAATGGAGGGGTGGAAAACACATGAAGAGACTGTAGAGATGAAAAAAGAAAGAGAGAACTGAGAAGAACATCAAAAGCAGGTCTTAGGACAGCCCTAATATCAAATATCAGATAGATAAAAGAATTAGCCCAAGAGATGGAGAAGGGGGAGCAGCTAGTGAGGTGAGAGCAATCCAGGGTGGAGGACTGTATGAAGTCAAGCAAAGAATGCCTTTTCGTCAGCAGGATGGCCACTAGGCTCATGTATCTCATAGCCAAGTAAGAATTCCTGAGAACCGAACCAACTACTGGCTCAGGAGGTTGACTCTCTTAGTCTGGTTCCAGTAGTATATGCTTCCTTACATTCCACCTGGTCACATCTGTCCCCATCAAAGACACTCCCCTTTCTCTT